GATGGCAGAATAGTGTGAGTTGGGCAGGAAAGGGACATACCCAGAGTTCCTAGGTGTTGGCCACCATCACCAAGGTGGCCTCCAGTCTGCCTGGTGCTCACAAGTGGTACACTTGAGGGAGCAGCCTGTCCTTATAGACAAAACCAGGCCGCAGAATGGGTCTGGGAAGGATCACGCTGCTGTCACTGATCCAGACCTTGGACTGGAACTCAGGGTGTCACAGGGGCTTGGACCTTGGATCGCCCTCTAGTACTGTGGACACTGAAGCCCTGGAACTTGATCTTGCTATCACCCCCAACACAGAGAGGTCTTCTCGGCCCCCATTTTTATTTTGGGTCATTAGCTCCAGATTCAAAGTCTTGAGTGGATGTTTCCCTTTGATTAAGCCTAGTCACATACCTTAGCTGCAAAGGAGGCTGGGAATCTATTTGGCACTGTTGTCTTCAATAATGAGAGGCCCACCCCTCACCAAGAGCCATAGGAAAGGGAACCCCAGAAACCTCAGGAAGGGGTAAGGCGACCAGGTAGCTCATGGCATGTCTGCCACCTGTGCATTAGCTTGTTGAATTCCTACCTAGTGAGGTAGGTTTTGTCATCTCCACTTTATATGCAATGGTAATGAGGCACAGAGAGGCTAAGGAACTTGTTCAGGGTCACACAGCTGTCAAGTGGTGGACTCAGTCACTTTGAGTCTGACTTGGTTTGTCTGATGCTCTCCACTGGATGTTGATGAAATGGAATTACCAGGGTCACTAAGCTGTGGATTTCAGACCCTGGACTGTGACACCTAAAAAAGAGACTTCCCTCAGGGCGAGGGTGCCTGGCTTCCAAGAATCGGCTCTGTCTTGTCACTTTCTGACTGTAAGAGCTCTGTCCAACACACACAGTGGCCCTGCAGGGAAGGTCAACGATGGGAGTGGACATGGCCCAGCTCCTAGCTCCTGTCTAGGTTCGTAGAGAGTGTCCCCTTGGTTCCTGTTTCTGTCTTTTTAAATCAGCAAAGACAGGGCAAGGTATCTCCATCCTTGGCTCAAGATGGGATGCATTCTTCCTTGTTTTTCCCACCCCCTCCCTGTGTGTACACTGTTAGCTTTGGTGATGGAGGGAATACCACCGTCCTGTGCATATGCCAAGGTTGTCTACCTCCACACCTTTACTCATGCTATTTCTTCTGCTCATGCCGTTCCTTACCTCCTAGTCACACCTTTCTGTTCAGATGGAAGCCAGCTCCTTGTTTTCTTCTGAGCCGGTGAGCGCTTTCTCTGTCGTTTGCGATGGAACTGACACTGGTGACGGTCCCATCTCCTGGGAGGCCACTGGCCGAAGCAGTCAGGTTCTCTCTTCTCTTCTCTTCTACCATGGGTGCATTTCTTCTGAATTGGCTGGTGATGCTTCCTTCTCCTTTTCTCCTGCCTTTGTTCTTACTTTACCAATGAAGCTGTAAGCTCAGTGAGGACAAGGACTGTGCCTCACTCTGATTTTGTCTCCACCTGGGTAGTATCGTTTTTTTTTTTGAGTTGGAGTCTCACTCTGTCGCCCAGACTGGAGTGCAGTGGCCGCTCCCGGCCACCGCAGCCTCGGCCCGCTGGGCTCCGGCGATCCTTCTGCCTCAGCCTTCCAAGTAGCCAGAATTATAGGCATGCGCTACCACGCCCGGCTGATTTTTTAATTTATTTTAGAGATGAGGTCTTGCTGCCCAGGCGGGTCTCAAACCCGCGGGCTCAGGCAATCCACTCACCTCAGCCTCCCAAAGGCGCGGGATTATAGGCTGAGCCACTGAGCTCGGCCAGCATCGTTTTTGATCCACAGTGGGCATGTGGGCGGGGAGAGAGGTTTGGTCCAGAGGACTGGATTTGAATCTCAAGCCTGCTATTTGCCTGAGCAATTTACTTAACCCTTCCTTCCTTCATTCATTCATTCATTCAACAAATAATTACTGAAGACCTACTATGTGCCAGGCACCGGACTAGACACCAAGGATATAGTGGTGAGTAAAGAGTTATGGGCTTTTCCATCATGGAGGGAGATAGATGTGAACTTACTAACCAGGTAATCTTGCAAGAAAGGTAAAATGACCAAGTGTAGGAAGGACAAGCCTGTGGAGCCACAGGAGGGCACACAGGAAAATGAATCCAGTGAGGGCAGTGAGAGAAAATGGAGGTATCTATCACGTAGCTCACTAGCTGTTTTTTTGTAAAGGATTAAATGAGATACTACTTGTCATGCATGGCATTTTAAAATGTGCAGTAAATGTTACCATAATGAAGACTAGGGGGTTGGCCAACTGAGTGGTCAAGCGCAGAATGAAAGTGGGTAGACATTTGTAAGCATTTCCTGTACCTGACGTTCCTCAGGACAGTGACTCCTAGAAGCATTTTCCATCAGAGTCAGCAGGAAAACTTAAAAAAAGAATTCAGAGCCGGGCCTGTAATTCCAGCACTTTGAGAGGCCGAGGTGGGAGGATCTCTTGAGCCCAGGAGTTCGAGGCCAGTCTGGGCAACATAGCAAGACCTTGTCTCTATAGAAAGTATAAACTTTAGCCAAACGAAGTGGTATGTGCCTGTATTCCCAGCTACTCAGGAAGCTGAGGGGAGAGGATTGCCTGAACCCAGGAGTTTGAGACTCCGTAAGCCATGATTGTGCCACTGCACTTCAGCCTGGGTGACACAGTGAGACTCTGACTCAAAAAAAAAAAAAAAAAAGCAGACATCTGCCCTCTACCCTAGACCTATGAAATAATAAGAATTTCCCAGGGTGGGATCAGAAAAGATTTTTATTAAAGATTTTTATCAAAATCTTTAATAAGGTATCTTCCAAAATTACAGATTTGGCACACATGTATCATCACCCTTGAAGACACGCAAAGTTATAAAAAGAAAGAAAACAGCAATCACCCTCCTGCTTTCTTCCCCCTCTCTACTCCCCTGCTCCAAGGTCAACAGTCTGGTGTGAATCCTTTTAGCATTCCGGCTTTGTCAAAGGCCATATAAAGACAGCTCACACAGAAGCACTCTAATGGGGCTTTTTCTTTGTAAAACCGTTCTCCTACCAAATGCTTTTCTCTGTATCTTGCCTTTTTTCACTTCGTAATGTAGCATACACAGCTCTTCAGGTTTACAGACAGAGGTCCAGCTCTTCTTTTGATAGCCATAGAACATTCTATAGAATAGATGGGGTTGGGCACAGTGGCTCACGCCTGTCATCAAGCACTTTGGAAGGCCAAGACGAGAGGACTGCTTGAGCCCAGGAATTTGAGACCAGCCTGGGCAACATAGCGAGACCTTGTCTCTACAAAAATATTTTAAAAAATTAGCTGGGCATGGTGGTGTGAGCCTGTAGTCCCAGCTATATGGGAGGCTGAGGGATAAGGATTGCTTGAGCTCAGGATACACAGGTGGCTGAGGTGTAAGGATCGTCTGAGCCCAAGAGGTTAAGGCTTTGGTGAACCATGATCGTGCCACTGCACTCCAGCCTGGGTGGCAGAGTGACACCCTGACTCAAAAAAGAAAAAAAAAAAAAGATGAGACACATTTCCTTCACTGCCTAATTGATAGATACTGAGGTTGTTTTCATTTCTACAGTCAAGCAATACATAACTTTGTAAAAGTTTCCTTACCCATACCAAAGGGTGAAATTGGTCAAATGTGCATGTTTAATTTTTTTTTTTTTTTTTTTTGAGTTGGAGTCTCACTCAGTTGCCCAGACTGGAGTGCAGTGACTGCTCCCAGCCACTGCAGCCTCTACCTGCTGGGCTCTGGTGATCCTTCCACCTCAGCCTTCCAGATAGCTGGAACTACAGGCGCGCGCTACCACGCCTGGCTAATTTTTTGATTTATTGTAGAGATGAGGTCTCGCTTGCCCAGGCGGGTCTCA